AGCCAATCACAAAGCAGACAAATAAGTAAGGACTCAACTGTTCCAGATACCAATGAGGTACAACCTTCATTTTTTTTTTCTTTGATTATATAGTGTCAGAGCAGAACATAACAAATTATAAAACAGGATATACTGTCCTAGGTTAAAAGTAACCAATAAAGATAAAATCTCTTCATCAACACTTGGCAAAATACATCAGATTTAATAATGTAGTAATAGTTTGTTTCATCCTTATTATGCCAAATACTGTGTACATTAAAGTTACTTTTAAAATATTAGTGTATTTTAATAAAAATATAGAATTTTGTGGGAAATTTATTTCTTATTGTGAATAGAAGAGAGAGGAAGGAAGATCTATAAGAAAATTCTTCTCTTTTTAGATTCCCTAACCCACAATATCCAAAAATCCATAGGGAACAAACCTTAATAATGAAATGCTACAGTTCAAATTCAAAAACATAAAATATGAGTAAAGCCAACCATATATAAATACCACTTTCAAAACAGGAGCAAGCAAACTGAACATATTATACAGTGCAATTCAATACAAAATTTCCTCCTATTTCTATTACTCAATATCTATCTTTCTTTGAGAGAGGAAGGTTTTCTGAGGATTTAGAAGGGATTTTTCAGAGTTACAGAATTCTTTCCTGTTATGTATAGTGCAGACCTCAGTATTTGCTCAAATTGACAGAGTATCACAATACAGCCATGAAAACACTGTGAAGTAATAGTTAACAATTTTGCTCATTTTGCTTTGGCTTGCCAAATTTATAAAGCATTCAAAAGCAGTTTCCAATATTTTCTGTTAAAATCTTCAAGAATCACATCTTCTCTTCAAGTATTATTAAATCATTTGCTGGTTTTAGTTTCCTAAAAAATAATTTTTTAAGTAGATCAGCTTGCTTTGTCATTATCATCTATTTTCTCCTAAACCTACCATGTATTTTAAGACATAGGAGGTTTGTTAATAATACTGTAAGATGTTGTAAAAAATGAATATATTTTCCTTCAATACTTCATTTTATTCTCTATACCCCTAGAGAGTAGGGGAAAATTAAATAATGTTTGGAGACTAGCTATAGGTTTTGTCAGTGATATCCTTGTTTCATCCTTCTCCTCTATCCTTAGTTGTCACAGATAACCAAGATATATTAAATGAAGAAAAAAGTTAGTTTGAATACATCATTTGGGAAAGAAACACTCTATATCAATCTCATGTTTTCTTTGGGCTCTTAAGCTTTAATAACTTAGAACAGTATCATTCCAAATATTACTAAAAGCTTCTTCAATACACATATCTATATACTAAGTATTGATTAAATTTATAAACTATATGTATGTTGAATGTTATTCAACATTCATTCAACCAATGTTAATTAAGCACCTACTATATGCCAGGCATTATTTTTCTTCCCAGTCTAATATTTTAAAGAACAATATCTATATATTCTTTCTTCTCCTCTATCTTTTTTAGTGTCCTATAGTTATCTACCCACTTGAAATATTTTTGCTCCTAAAGGGGCACCTGTGCTGAGGAATGCCTTTGCAACAAAGGCAAACAGGTACAAAGGGCTTGGAGAAGAGGATTAAGTAAATGAGTACCAATTGATAGAGAGTTTTAAAATCAGGAACTCAAATTTTTAGTCTAAGGTTTGATTCCAAAAGTAGGTAGATACTATACTTTATGGTTTCAGATTTGATGATATTAATAGAATAGCTAAACCATATTGTGGTTAGTATGTTTCGGGCACTGTTTAAGCATTTTACATATATTTTAACTCATTTAACTCTCAATAAAAACCCTTTAGGAAGATGCTATCTTCATTTTATAATTGGGAAATTGAGATAAAGAGGTTAAGTACTTAACCCAAGACCACATGGCCAGCCAGAGGCCTGAGTAAAGGTTAGAACTTAAGCATGTCTGACTACTCCAAAGGAATGTTCTTTCTACTATACCATGATGTTGCTTGACAATGTTTTGTGTCCTTTCTCACTGTTAATATTCTAGTGATTTGGGTCCATCAGGAAAGAGGCCAAGGGACCATAAACTTTTATCATCCTTTCCTATCTTCCCCTGCACTATTTTCCCTGCAATCTCTTCTGTATGACTGTGCACCCCACCCTCTGTGACCACCCAAAACATTAAAACACCATCCCTCTCCCGGAAATCTGGACTGGTTCCCAACTGAGCCTATTACCAAAATAAACATGCTCCATAACATCTCTCAACAGCTTTCTCCCTGGCTATTGCGCTCTTCATACACATTAGTCCTATTCCAATTTCCTCTATTCCATTTATCTACTTGTAGTTCCCCTCTGAACCCTTAGACATTTCTTCCTGACACTTGAAAACATTCTTCTCTCAATGTTTCAGTAAGGATACCTTATAACTTTATTCAAAGATCTTCTAAAATTTCACCTCTGCATGAAAGTTTATAAATTTTGTCATGCTGAGTGAGGAAAATCTTCTACCACTTGATAGGTTACATGCTAATATTATCTCTGAACCTCCAAAATACCATCCACTATATTTTGGATACAATTATAAATAATAACTGTGGATATGCCCATGTTGTGTTCAGTTTTAAGGTACAACCACAGAGTATATGTCTTTTTTGGTCTATGTTGACAGTACATTTTGTTTCAGATGGAAGGATTTAGAGGAAGTATATTTGTGGACATATGTTTATCTTGCTTTGGATTATAACTGCCAGCACCTAGCACACAAATAGATACTTAAAACACATTTTTATTATATCAAAGGTGTTGTATATAAAGAGAAAGCAGTAAGTTTGAATCTAACAAAATGAGTAAAATTGTCCTTTAGCCTAAACAAAGTATGTATTTTATATAAAGGGGAAAAATGAAAACATATATGAAGATTTAAATTGGCAAATAATCATGACATAAATTACTTTCATAGATTTAAAACTTAAGAATTTTTCTAGTGGCTAAATATATTATTGCCTACTCAAAAAATGAAATACAGAATTTAGAGTGATTTTTTTTGGTGGAATTAAATCCAATGATATCTCTCTCTTTCTCTCACCCCTTTTAATGTTTTCCCACACAGGTGAAAATCAGCAATTTTAGCCAAAATAGCCATTAACTATTGATATAGCAATATCTTATTATATCTGAATTGACTTTTTTCGACAATTTTATGAACTGAATCTAGAACATACAAAACAAAAGATAAAAAATAGATGCCAAAGCATATGTATGGTACTCAGAGGAAAACCTTTCTTAGAGACTTATTTACTTTTATTTGGCATACTATTATAACAATGTTAGTTATCCTAAGTCCACAGTAATTTACAAGGGAGTAGGGACTACTGTCAAACTGATAGGAAAAAAAAAAGAATACTCAAACATTTAATCACAAGGGAAAAATCAGAAAATTTCTAAAAAGCAGAGAAACAAGACCTTGAACAGCATAGTAGCAGGAGGATACTTTCTGTACAGGTAAATGGTCCTCCAAACTTTAAGGAGACCTGACAGCACCGCTCTCTCACAGATTAGGTTAAAAACTGATCTCCATAATAGTGATTCTTATTCATTCATGTTGGATAAACACCTAAAAATATTTCTATAGATGCTCCTCAACTTATGATGGGATTATGTCCTGATAAGCTCATCATAAATTGAAAATATCATAAGTAAAAAATGCACTTAATACATCTAACCTACTGAATATGATGGCGTAGCCTCGCCTACCTTAAATGTGCAGAACACTTACATTAGCCTACAGTTGGGCAAAATCATCTGGCAACATAGTACAGAGTAGGGGCTGTCTACCCTTGTGATTGCGTGGCTGACTGGGAGCTGCAGCTTGTTGCCACTGCCCAGCCTCGGGAGAGAATGCAGTACTGTTTCCACTGAGCTTTCTACAGAATGGTTATAGATTGTACACGATTGTAAAGTCGAAAAATCATAACCCAAATCATCTAAGTTGGGGACTGTCTGTGTAGAAATATAATTTAAAATGGCCTAACAGGCAAAGTGGTCCTCAGAAGCTAAAAATGAGCAAGAGGAGAAATCCAGGGAGGCAGTGAGCGCTGAGGCTGGCGGCTGTGGACCCCTGGTAGGCTGGAGGAGCAGCAAGGGAACAGAAGACAAAGCCCAGGACTTGGGAAACTGAGAGGTGGAGGAGACACACTGACTTCCAGCCAAACCACACATGCTAAACTCTTAATGAAAGCATGAACTAGAAAAAACACACCAGCTACAAAAAATGACCAAAAGATTTGCCTGTTTCAACTTTTATTCTTGGTGGAGTGGTACAATCTCCCCTGAATATTCATAAACACAAGGTGGCTTACACATGAGAAGTTGGGGGCTGAAATCCATATTACCCTACCTGGTCTTAAAACAAAAACAAGGCAAAGATTTAGTTTAAAGTGAGTTGGTTAGGAGCCTCAGGCTCCAGTCAGATAAACATATAGATTCTCTCTGAAGGAGATAAAATTCCAATGAGTATCAGCTTATTATTTATATAAAATGTACTATGAAAAAAGGTTCCATTAGTGAGGGTCAGAAGAAACAATAATAACCTCAGACCTGAAAAGACTTCAGATATTAGAAGTATTAGATACACAATATCATTTCACTATGTTTTTAAAAATTTTAAAGGGAATGGAAAGTGTGGGTGAGGAATATGAAACTCAAAAAATAACCAGATTTGAAGATGAATCAAATAGTTTTTATGACTACTGAAACTTAAAATTCAATGGATAAGCAGCTATTGGGCATAACTGAGGAGAGAATTATTAGTAAACTAGGGAGTAAATCTGAATAAACAATCTAGAATGTAGCACAAAGAGCAAAGAGATAGAAAATATAAATGAGAAAATATAAAAGACATGGATGATGAAATAGAAGGTCTAATACACATCTAATTAGAAGGAGGAAATGGGACAGAGGCAATATTCTAAAAGATGATGATTGAGAATTTTCTAGAACTGACTAAAGACACCAATCCTCATTTTTTTTTTCAGGAATCACATTGAATCTCATGCAGAATAATTGAAAAAAGTCATACTTTGACATATAGTAAAACTGAAAAATTTCAAAAAAAGGGGATATCTTAAAAGTCTATGAGAGAGAAAAGACGCAGTACCTACAAATGAAAACTAAACTGAAAGTCTAATTTTCAAGAATGGAAGCCAGAAGATCATGGAATAGTATCTTCAAAATCCTAAGAGAAAAAATGATCATTCTTCAATTGTATAACATATGAAACTATCTTGCAAGAAAGTGAATTAAAGAAACACATTTTGGCTGGGTGTGGTGGCTCACGCCTGTAATCCCAGCACTTTGCAGAGCTAAGGTGGAAGGATGGCTTGAGACCAGGAGTTTGAGACTAGCCTGAGCAACATAGCAAGACCTTGTCTCTACCAAAAATAGAAAAATTAGCCAGGCGTGGTGGTGCATGCTTATAGTTCCAGCTACTTGGGAGGCTGAGGCAGGAGGATCCCTTGAGCCCAGGAGTTGGAGGTTGCAGTGAGATATGATGATGCCTGCACTTCAGTCTGTTGGGCGACAGAGTGAAACCCTGTCTCAAAAAAAAAAAAAAAAAAAAAAAAAAAGACAGCTTAAGAGATAAAAACTAAGAGTCTGCCACCAATAGATTCTCACTGAAGAAGCTTCAACTCAGTTCAGGAAGAAGCAAAATGATTCCAGAAGGAAAAATACTAAAGTACAGTCAACGAAGAAGAAAGGTTTTTTGTTTTTTTTTTGGTTTCAAACTCCTGGCCTCAGTGATCCTTCACCTCAGCCTCCCAGAGTGCTAGGATTACAGGTGTGAGCCAACACTCCTGGCCAGAAAATGTTCTTCATACTTAAGTTTGCATTTCATGGGTAAAATTCTCACCTACCAGAATAATACATTTCCTAAGGATTCTGAATAGCTTTGTGTGAACATATGCTTTCACTTCTCTTGGCTTAGAGTGGGACGGCTAGATCATATATCAGGTGTAGAGTTAACTTTTAAGTAAATACCAAACTAATTTCCAAAGTAGTTGTACCATTTTACATTCTCGCCAATAATTTATGAGATATCTTCACCAACACTTAGCATTGTCAATTTAAATTTTTTTTAGTTAATCTATATAGTGTAGTGGCTCTCAACTGGGGATGATTTCCCCCACCCCCTGGGACATTTTACAATGTCTGCATATATTTTTGATTTTCACAGCTGGTGGGGGGAGGTTACTACTGGTATATGGTAGGTAGAGGCCAGAGATGCTGATGAACATCCTATGATGGACAAGACAGCTTCCCACAATAAAGAATTATCAGCCCCAAATGTCAAGTGCTGATGTTGAGAAACTCTAGTGTAGTAGTATCTTACTGTGGTTTTAAATTTGCATCTCCTTGATAACTTTGGACATTGAACATCTTTTAATATGCTTATTGGTCATTTGTATATCTTATTTTGTGAAATATCAGTTCAAATTTTTTTGGCCATTTATTAACTTGGATTGATTGTCTTGTAATTGAGCTATTAGTGTTCTTTGTATATTCTGAATGCAAGTACTTTGTCTGATATATGTGTTGTAAATATATTCTTCCAGGTTGTGGCTTGTCTTTTCATTGTCTTAATGGCAGGTCATAAACTTGAAGGTCATAAACTTTTAAAAGATTTTGTATGATTTAATCTATCAATTTTTCATTAATGTCTCATGCTTGTGTTCTATCTAGGAAATCTTTGCAACCTTCAGGTTGCAAAGATTTTTTTTGTTTTCTTCTAGAAGTTTTATAGCTTTAGGTTTTAATTTAATAGATCATATAAATTTTATTATATTTGAAAACCAAACTGGTAAAGTGTTTCTCTCCAGGGAATGGGATTATGGGGGATGACATTTGCTTTTTAAAATATATCTATTATAGCTATCTCCCTGCCATAATTATTATAAATGCTATAGTACAGATAATTTAGAGGGGTGGGAAAAGAATGGGAGGGAAAAATATATCTCTAACAGGGCTAATTTTAATTGGGGCTAACTTTATTTATTGTTGTTGTGCTTCTAGAGAACAAATCTGACCTTAAAGTCTTCTGGTATAACTGCATGCATGCATGTTAAATCAAGCACTGTCTGATTATTTTCTATTAAATCCATGCAGCAAAAAAAGTAAAGTAGTCTTTCTTTCAGAGACTAGAGCAGGTACATGCTAGGGTTAAACAACACAGTTTGACTTCTAGTATCCTTGGATCATTAAAAAGCATCTCTTAAGAGCAATATTAGCCCTGAAAACACGGGAACATGGCTTTGCAAGCGGCGTGGAGTGTGTGGGCCACACCCTGCAGCCCGTAGGTGGCCTTGGCACCTACCGTGCCCTGCCCGCAGCGGCCCAAGACTGCACTATACAGGGGACCCGCTTTGCTCTCAGTGCCTAAATTTACAGAGAAACATGAATAGATAACAACAGAAAATGGTATTGGAGTAGTGGGAATCAGCAACTTTGCACAGGAAGCTTTGGGAGATATTGTTTACTGTAGTCTGCCTGAAGTTGGGGCAAAATTAAACACGATGAGTTTGGTGCTTTGGAAAGTGTGAAAGCTGCTAGTGAACTCTATTCTCCCTTATCAGAAGTACCTGAAATTAATGAAGCTCTTGAAGAAAATCCAGGACCTGTCAACAAATCTTGTTATGATGATGGTTGGCTGATCAAGATGACACTGAGTAACCCTTCAGAAATAGATGAACTAATGAGTGAGGAAGCATATAAGAAATATGTAAAATTTATTGAGGAGTGGAAAATGGAACCCATTTTCCATACAAGTATGAAATAACTTTTTAAAAACAAAACAATATTAGCTGATGCCACGTGGAAAACTAGGCAGCACATACTATAGATGCAAAGAGAATCCACTGCTTAAAACTGATCCTGCCTGCCCACCCCCCCATCTCAGGAGCTGGCCTGGGCCGTGGAAGCAGTGCACTGGACAAAGAGACCCTTTTTATAAAGCTTCCTACTATTTGACTATTGATATCACAAAACAACTAAAGAAACTTTCCAATAAGTCTGCAGCTGAAGAAATGATAAATTGGTACTGGAATTACACAATGGCACACATAGTGACATGAGAAAAGGTGTCTTTGAACTGGGTTTGAGGATTACTTTTAAAAATGTATATTAACTCATAAATTTAAAGTCTAAATTATTTACTTGATAATAGTCTAAAATTCATACAGTTTAACATTTACTCTGAAACAGAGATTTAGAATATGAAGATGATTTCAGGATACTTTTCTACCCTCTCTGCTTAAAAAAAGTTATTTACTCTGGAAGATTTGCAATAATGTAAGCAGTAAATGGGGCACTAAAGAAGGAAGAATGGTCCTAAATTTTACAATGAATTTCAAAGACCTACAATTTTAAGCATTCTAAATAGAGCTCCATGTCCTAGAAAGACTTCTTCTAGCCACTGATGACTAAAGACACTATTAGGAACAATGGAAACCACAGTTTAAAACACAATAATTGAACCAAAAAGTTGGCCTCCAGACTAAATGCACTTGATTCATGGCAGTTGTACTATTTAGAACAATTCTCATGATAAGCAGGAATGATTTTTCTTTATTAAATCTTTTTCTTGAATGTGATTATTGCTTAAGATGCTGTGAATACTGAATTTAAAATGTCTCTTTCTTTCTACCTCCCCTCCCCCATCCACTTCTTTCGCCCAATAACAAGCAGATTTGTCTACTCCCTGTGTTTTTCTTAGTGAGGAATGAAATGTTCAAGTTATTTTCCTGTATAAATTTGTACCCAATTAATGTCTATTTTGCTGAGCTTCTTCAACCCCTCAGAACTCCTCAGTAAGGTTCTTAAAATATTAGGGTTACCAACCCTCAAAATGTTAGGTATCCCCCCACCCACTACAAGTGGCAGGTAAAAATAAAATGGCCTCTTAGCTTGGCCATAGCTTTTCCAGACACCTTGATTGAGGCTTAGAGGCATGTGTATGCTTCCTCTGATTCTCCACTCTCTGGTCCTACATTAGCATGAGTAAGATTCATAGCTCTAGAACCCTCAGAATCTGAACTTGAGTACCTCACGAGAAAGCTACTGCTAGGATCCCTTGATCTAAGAACATGATCTAAGGAGAGATATCACAATCAAGAATATGAAAAATGGGTTCTGGAGAAGCAAGAATATCAGAAAAATTTCTTAGGACTGTGAATGCCCACAAAGGCACGATCAATGTTCTCTGTTCAGAACATTTGCATAAAGTTATAGGTTACTATGAAGAGTAATAAGTCTCTTCTTATGCATTCAGAGTATACCAGGGAGAAAAGACAGTGGGAGATTTCTCTAGTGTATCAATAGACAAGTCACGTTTTTCGTATCTCAAAATATTCTATTCTCAGCTGCCTAAAATTATTTCATCCATAAGTTTCAGGATGGAGTGGAAATAAGTGAAACAGAGGAAGAATAAAAATAACCAGGACCTGAGTTAGAGAGGAATATGTCACAAAGGAAAAAATATGTCTGGAATTTAAGATCCTAAGGTCTTGGAAAGAACCATAAAAATTTCACATTAATTAATGAATATGGTTCTATGAGGAACTATAGAATAAAATGTAAAATGTATATAAAGTTTTATGGTCCACAAATTAATTTCACATAGAGTAACTTATATAATTTCTCACAACAACCTTGTGCAACAGATCTCATTATTCTTGTATTACCCAAGAAGAGACTTGTCATGCAACTGATAAGTAGCAGAGCTATAAGTCCAATGCACGTCTGTTCTGACTTCAGGTCCAGTGTCCTTTCCACTGCTCAACAGTTTAAAATGTTGCTTCAGAGCCAGCTCTTAGGGAGCTTACAATCCTGTTGATCATAAAAGACTCAGAAACAATTACAGAATAATACTAGATAATGTGTAATTCTGGGTTAAATTATATGCCACAAACTACAAATATTCAGGAGTAGAGAGTGAGTAAAGACTTAAAAGATAGGTAGAGGGGAATGGCACAGAGGAGAGAAAAAGCTGAACAAACTCAAGAGACAATAAGGAGATTGCCTTGGGTCTGGCGGAGATGTGAGTTAGTAA